TGTCATCCCCTAGGTTCTGTGAAAAAGATTCTAAAAAAAAATGAGAAAAAAAAACAATCTATTTTACAAAGATAATGAATAATGGGTTTAGGCAGGTTTGGATGAATAAAACATTAGTGAGAAGAAGGTTTTATATTATATTAACATAGAAATTCGGAAATTTTGTATATATATTACACTAATAATATGTGATGTCTTGTATTTAATAGTTCAGTTGTATTTTAAGCATTATATAATTTATCTGAGATTTTATGTTGCTCATTTCGCATTGTGTATGTATTTATTTATATACGTAAAATCACTCGATGTCCTATGAATAGGTCGGTTCGATTATTATGTCTAATACCCGGTTAGGAAAATAAATTAAATTAGAATAAGACGTATTTAAAATAATATTTAACTAAAAATAAATAAATATTAGAAAGAAATTATTGGGCTTTATTTTAATCGAAAAGTTGGATTGGGCCAACAAAATGTTAAAGATCAATTATTTAATTACGGCCACCTTTATAGCTAGCATTTAATAGTGTTGTTGAAGCTCATACTATTTAAGTATTAACAACGACGTTAATACGTGCATAATAAATCACAAACGTACCACAATTTTCCATATATAGTTTTCCCAAGGGGTAACTAAAATTGAAAAAGAAATTATAGTATTATTATTTCATCGAAATAACTCGTTTTATTTTCTTGATTGTTTTTTTTTTCCGTTTCTGAAAAGTCAAAATCCACAAGTTAAAACTGGGTTTTAAAAGAAAATTGCTAAAATATTGACGATTAAGTCAATAATTCGAACCAAACATCTAAAAGGCATGGACTAAAATATAATTTTGACTTTAGAGGTGAATTATGATAATGACCTAGAGAAAAGTCATTATCAAAATTAATGAAATCTCTATAATTTTTTTCTTCTAACTATTCTAAATCAAACTATGAGATGAAAATTTTAAAAGTAATATTCGATCTTCTAACTCACACAACTTGATCATGATATGTTCTTATCAACTTCGAATCTATTTGCTAAGTTATTTTCAAAAACACCTACACGTGTATTATAAAAGTCCATAAATATGATTTTAGACAAAAAGACAAACTTAACTATAAAATCAATCAAATAAGCCAACTAAACCACATGCAAGGAAGAAAAAAAACATAAATATCTCCTTATCAAAAAACAAAAACATGATATTACAATGGATGCTGCACATAAAAAAAGGTGGTTAATGCAAACATATGGACCGGATTTGGTGGAGGATAATCTTGGATTATACAAACGTAACAAACCGAAGGGATGATTTTATAATAGGGAAGGTAGGTCGATTGAATTTACACGAATATTTAACGTCACATAGATATATACTAGCATATAATCTTCTAGATGAATAACTGAACTGATACTCACGATCTTCAAGAAGAACAAAACACATAAATAATGGAGCTAAATTTCACTATCTATTGTTTTTATAGGTTTTACGTGTTTGAATTTTGAAATTTAAAATAAAATGCGTAAGAAGCAACCAAAAATGCTCGAGAGAAATCATGTGCTGCGCAAGCTCGCGATTCGGAATGAGACAAAATAGTTTTGTCAATTTGGTTGGTTGGTCCATAGATTCTTATATTTGTATGAAAAAAATATTCGTAAATAAAATATCAATGTGTTGTAAACTTTGTAATGCCTCCAAATCTTTAATTTGTCCAATCATGCATATAAAAAAGGCAAAATATGTATTGTAGGGTTTTGTTTTAAAATTTGCAAACAATATATTAGTTTAATAATTCCCATTTGTACACGGAGCTATACCTTTTTTTCTTTTTTGCTAAATGGAGCTACCTATATTACAAGTCCGTTTTCTAATAAAATTACATATCCCACCTAATTGAAAACCTACCGTTTCTATAAAACATGCATAAAATTTAGAAATTTCTTATTTTCTGGATGACTAACAAGATGTTAACACACATTTTAATTCTACCCGATTAGTACCCTATTTGTTAAAATTTAACCAATAACAAAATTACAAAGCTAACTAGAGAATTTAGTAACTTTGGTGAAACTCGTACACTACATTAATGTTTAATAAGTTTCTTCTTTTCATGCGTAGCTAAATGTCAGGATGATTAGTACCATTTGTGTCTATTTTACTTGATTCCCATCTATCTAGAAGAAAACAAAATATGACTAATTTATTAAACAAATAACGGATAAAAAAACCGTATAATCATATAAATTTGTCTAAATTTTTATATTTAGAATCGATTTTTTCGAAAAATTATTAAAAACTTGACTAATTTCGACTAGTTTCGTGAATTTCTCAACAATTTTTTCTCCGCAAATCCACTACAAATAAAAAGTACCAAAACCTAAGTATATAAATTATCAAACCATATTATCCATATGATTAACATAAAATTTGGAACTTTTAATAAGTTGAAAGAGAAAGAAAAGAAAACTAATAATTCAAAGAAACAAAGTGTGTGAGTAAATGTGGGCACTCTCTCTAACTTCTACTCCCACCTTTATCTCCAACAAGTAGCCATCACACCATTCACCACCTTCCTCACTTTAGATTCCTCTCGATCGTGCCCACCAGCTCACTCACTTGCTTCTAAATTCCACTTTAAACAAAAACCCTAATTTCGACCTTGACGCAAGTAAAAAAGAAAGAAAA